GAGAACAAAAATGCATCCAAAGTCCATAAATGACTACGGTGCAGACGGATTTTTTTAACACCGAGGGTTTTGTAACAGCTGAGCTCCTCCTCTCCTCCCGGTGGGTTCCGGCTCCCTTCCCCTGAGCGGCTCCCGGGGAAGGCCCGACATCCAGGCTGTGCCCAAGGGACCAGAAAGAGAACCACTGCCTGAGCCCTACAGAGCCGCGGTTCCGCGTGGTCCAACCAGGTGTGGAGACAGCCCAAGGCAGGCAGCAAGGGTCTGACCAAGGGGACGGGAAGGGACCGCGGACCTCGGCTGGGGTGGGGGAGGACAGGGCGTGGGAAGCCAGAGGCCGGCTTGAGAGAGGCCAGCACAGGAGGAGGAAGGACCCAATGGGCAAGGAGTTGGTGACGGGCCTGGGAGGAGGCCACAGAGGGTGTGGACACAGAAAAGCCAGGCCAGGCACTGACCCTCACAGAGGCCCCACAGCCGGGCCCCGTCCGCCCACCTGTTCGTTCATTCATCCACTTATTCATTCAACAAATGTTTATTGTGACAAGCCAGAGACTGTCCTGGGCACTCGGGTCAGGTCCAGAGAGATTCTATAAGGAAAAAAGAGGTTCAGGTGCCTGGCCTGGCGGGACCTCAGGGGTTCTAGGCGGGGACAGAGATGGAGAGAAATCACCTGTCTGTGACCGGACATGTGGTCCTGAGCCGGATGGACTAGTGGGGTGGGAGAGCGGCCCACAGTGGACCCCGAGCATAGAGAAGGTGAGCGCAGAGCCGAGGACAGTTTCTCTACGTGGTGATGGTCCAGGTGGTGTCACATGGAGAAGCCCAGGATGGGACCACTACCTCACACTATCGACACCGTCACCCTGCCCAAGAGCGACAGGCAAAGCAACGAGGTTCTGGAGACAACCTAGAAACCCGTCCCCAGCTCAGGGGGGAGGTCTCAACCGGACACAGCGAGCCTCCACCAGAAGGGACACCGAGATGTCCACGGCCCACCGTCAAGACATCCGTTCACCTGACGCTGGGCAGGGGCAGGTGGCAGTGGAGGAAAGCCGTCCGCAGCATTCCTCCTGACCAAGGGCCCATGCTCACGCCAGAGGACACCAAGGACAGACAGCCCGGCGTCCCTGAAATGCACGAAAGACTCGCGAGC